TATTGAGTCGAATTGCCACCAAGCCAAAACAACACAGGCAAAAACAGAAAAAAAAAAGCAAGATCGCAGGCAACTCGGATCACATATTGAACTGATCAGAACAGATGCTACACTTGATCTCAGAATTGTGTGTGTGTGTGTATCAGAGAGAGAGATGGAGAGAGAGAGAGAGAGAGAGAGAGAGAGAGAGAGAGAGAGAGAGAGAGAGAGAGAGAGAGAGTACTTCGATCTATTAAACAGATCACAACAGATGCTACACTTGATCTTAGCCCCACCAAGAGGAAACAATAGAGCAGACGAGTCAAATTTTTTTTTTTTTTTTTCTGGGTATGGCCAGATGCTACATTTTATTTCACAATCGCCACAAAAAAAAAACGAATTGCCACGAAGGAGAAACAGCAAACGCCAAAAAAGAAAAGAAAAAAAAAATAGCAAGATCATTGGTTGTAGCCGGATCGACCACAGATTAGTTCTCATCTTTTGCTGCCATTATTAAAAACAAATACAAATCCGTCCTTTGATGCTTTTGCTTTTTCTCATGGTTTTTTTGCGTCTCCTACTTTTGTCATTCTCCTTTTCTCTTTCTGCATTTCTCTTCTCCTCTCGCACCGCAGCCGAATCTTCTCACGCCGCGGAACAACAAGCACGCCAACGTCTGATACTCAGACAACAATGTTACAGACATGCACACATCGAACACATCGAACCGCGCATCAACACTGCACGCATTTACACCGCAACTCTTATTACCCACCACATACTCATTACCATTGCAAGCCTTGGCGAGAGAACACCGTGTCTTTACTGTTGTGCACATAAGTGGCAGCATGAACACGCGTGGACAACACTGTTGCAGACAGGGTAAAATGCAACCTTCACTTTGGCAATACCCTCCACCTGCGACACCGGAGCATGAAATCATCCGCCTCTGGGAAGCTGACACCGCACACGAGCGACTCTTACAATCACCCTCCCGTCAATTTAACAACGCCCTCACGCTGGCATCACAATCTGTCAAAAAAACATAATACCCTCCTGGCGCTTGGCCGGGGATGCTTTGCATAGAAGGACAACTCCACCAGAATTTGGACCCTCTTCTCCCAGATGCTGACCGTGAGCCTGCATTCGCACAAATCTACATCTACGATCCAAAAGACGAACATGGCGCAACACTTCTCCGCCTTGATCGTTTTGACCTTCCTGCCGATACACCCCTTGCAACTATTCGCTCGATCAAAGGCCTTCTCCAGAAGTTCCACACTCTTCTTCGTGCATGCAACCGCTGGGTGCAGGATTTCATCACTCTTTCTGAAATGCCTAATGAAATGATACACGACCGACACATTGTCATTAACCCTGACGCACGACCAGCCGATCAACACGAACGTCGCTTCAACAAAGAACTGTGTCTTCTTATGCACGATCAGCCTGCCAATCGAGAAATCACGATCCGCAAACGTGTTGGGGGGATTGTCCGAATTGCTGAAACGAACCGTGCTCTTAACCCTCTTCACTACGTGCTCCTCTTTCCCGCCGGCGAAGACGGTTGGGCACCCGACACCGATGACGAGACTGAAGGCGACCACCACTGTGCTATGGCACGAGAATTCTATGTTTTCCACTTGAACACACGTCAGACAGAAACAACAACAATATTCCATGCAGGCCGCCTTTTTCCAAGAGTATGTTTGCATGGCGTTTACTAAAATCGAGAACGGTCGCCTTCTGTACAACCGTCTCCACCAAACAGAAATCCGTGCAGACCTCTACCAAAATCTTCGTGATCATCTCATGCAATATGACAACACTGAAAACGTTGGCCAACGAATTGTCCTTCCCGGAACATTCACCTGGGGGCCACGCGACATGCACCGCCGATACCAGGATGCAATGGCAACCGTCCAAGAATTTGAAGCTCCAGATCTTTTCTTAACTTTCACATGTAACCCTCACTGACCCGAAATCCAAACTGCCCTCTTCCCCAACCAACAACCATCCGACCGACCAGACCTTCTTGCACGCGTGTTCAAAGGCTATTTGCGACAATTGATCCACGACATACACTTCACCCATGTGTTTGGACCGACTACAACATATACATGCGTCATTGAGTTCCAAAAACGCGGTTTGCCGCATGCCCACATAATAGTTACATTGAAAGAAGACCACAAAATTGCCACGCCTGAACAAATCGACGTTGTGGTCTGCGCTGAGCTTCCCGCAAATCCCACTCTGCAAGAACTCGTGCTCACTCACATGATCCACACTCCATGCGGCGTACACAATTTCCATGCTCCTTGCATGCATAACGACCGTTGCACACGGTTTTTCCCTAAAGATTTCTCTGACCGCACAACTTGGAACGAAGATACCGGCTACCCGATTTACCGACGACATGCACCTGCTGACGGCGGATTGGTTATCACTCGTGGCGACACCGACCTTGACAATTATTGGGTTATCTCTTACAACCCTTACTTGCTTCTCCGATATCGCACACATTTCAACGTGGAAATTTGTGCATCAACTTCCGCATGCCCATATATGTTCGAGTAAATCCTGAAAGGACCGGACAGAGCAATGGTGGCCGAAGCAATAAACACAGAAGATGAAATCGAAATGTAGCAAGACATGAGAACAATCGGTGCTGCCGAATCATGCTGGCGGATTTTTGATTTTGCTATGGCCGACCGCTACCCTTCGGTTTCACCGCTCCTTGTACATACTGGAAACCGACAACGCGTCTACTTTCGCCACCACCAGGGTCAACGTATCGCACGAGCGCCGGCGCCCGAAACAGAACTAACGGCATGGTTCAAAATGGAATGTTGCACATCCGAATGATCCGGACGTCGCAAAACCCCTGTACAAAGACATGATCCGCCATTTTCGCTTCGACAAAAGCACAAAACGCTCAATCCTCCGCCGCGGTGTAGCGAACACAATTGGTCACATACACACCATTCATCCCAACGGCGGAGATACATTTTACCTCCGAATACTCCTTTTGTCGCCACACTCCCGCGGCGCAACAAGCTTCGAACATCTTCGCATTGTCAACAACGAAATTCATCCCACATATCAATCTGCATGCAAAGCGCTTGGCCTGTTGAACGACAACGCACAATTCGATGTTGTTCTGCAAGACGCAGTCCTCGCCTCGCCGTCGCCCAAGGTCCGCGACCTCTTCGTCCATATCGTTCTCCACAGTACTCTAGCTGACCATGATGAGTTTTTTGAAACCCATTGGCAACAAATGACAGACGACTTCCACAGAAATCTTGCCGGTGCAGCTGTTCCTCTCCCAATAATCAGAGCATTGGTCCTCCTCGACATCGAAAGCCGCCTGCAAAAAGAGGGCAAAGAACTGGAGGATGTTGGACTTGCACCGCCGCCACCGGCGGAGAGAGAACAAGCTAATGGCCTCGCCGAAAGGCCGTCACGCCAAGGTATTCCGCGAATCATCGACGACGAAATTTCATACCCCAAAGAGGAACTTCAGCGCACTCTCGACTCCAATCTCCCACAACTGCTCCCCTCTCAACGAGCTGTTTTCCAGCGCGTCGTCATACATGCTGCTGAAAACAGCAACCCGCTCTGCCTTTTTGTTGACGCACCGGCCGGCACAGGTAAAACATTCTGCTTCAACACAATACTCGTACACATTCGCGTCCATGACCAAATTGCACTTGTTGTTGCTTCGAGCGGCATCGCAGCCACCCTGCTAAGCGGAGGCCGAACTTTCCACTCTCGATTCAAAGCGTCCCTCACACCCACTGCTACATCCACATTAGACATTCCCAAACAATCCGCGCTCGCACAACTTATACGGATGGTTGTAGTTATCCTCTGGGACGAAGCACCCATGACACACAAATTCCAGTTCGAAGCATTGGACAGAACGCTAAAAGACATTTGTTCATCTCCCCTACCCTTCGGCGGGAAAATCATCGTCCTCGGTGGTGATTTCCGACAAATACTCCCCGTTATCACCAAAGGTACACGAGCACAGACGATAGACGCGTGTATTAAATCTTCCGTTTTATGGCAGCACTTCGACACGATGCATCTCTCCGAAAACATGCGTGTCCTCACACAAATTGACACTCCTACCGGGCACGATTATGCTCAATGGCTCCTCAAGCTCGGAAACGGAGAAATCGAACATATACATAACAACCCCCCCAATACCATTCCCCTTCCTTCTCATCTTTGTCTCCATGGCGGAACATCAGAGCTCATCGATTGGACATTCCCAAACCTCCAACATAACTTTAAAACCCCACAATGGCTCGCAAAACGTTTGATCCTGTAGCCCAAAAACAAATCGGTCTCGACGCTCAACAACATCATTCTCGATTCATTTCCCGGTCCAGTCATCACATCCCTCAGTGCTGACTCACTGCTCCCTAACGAAAATTTCCCCGATGTTCCGATCGACACCTTGAACACATTAGATCTTTCATCCCTCCCCCCCCACATACTCCGCATGAAACATAATGCCCCCGCCATTCTCTTACGAAATATCGCAATGAGAAACGGGCTCTACAACAGAACACGACTGATAGTCGACTCTGTGACAAACAACAGGCTCCTTCACGGTCGAACCCTGCCATCCCTGCACCCAGTACTCCTCCCGCGCATCTTGCTCACAGTCATCGACATCACATCCCCTTTCCTGTGGCAAAGATGCCAATTTCCCATTCGCCTGGCATTCGCGATCACAATCAACAAATCCCAAGGCCAATCTATCAAACATGCCAGCGTTGATCTTCACCAACCAACATTTGCACACGGCCAACTTTATGTCGCGGCGTCACGAGAAGGTGACCCTGCCCATGTACGCTTCTCGCTGCCTTCCCTGCTTGACCACGCAACCAATATTGTTTACAAAGAAATGCTTAACTAAATATGCTTCCAACGCACATGCGACACCGACAAAAGAGACAACAAGACAAACACAAATAAACTCCAGTACTCTTTTCGGCGCCGCCTTTGACCGATCTACGCTGCCTTTGTTTTCCTCTGCTTCTCGTCTTCCACCTACTCTCCTCCATCTCCATATGATCCCCCCTCCCCTGCAGGTGCCCATGAGGACAAGCAGCCGCAAAAGAAGCCAAGATCCTCATCCAAGCCATCACCGTCAACAACTTCATCTTCCAAATCGACGCCAATGCAGATGACGACGACTACGAACACAACAACCAGAACATGAACAGCCACCCCGCCGCGCCTTCTACAACAGCCCTCCTTGTGACAACAACGACATCAACAAAAACAACTGCCTCAACGACAACACCTGCAACTACAACAACAACCACAAAAACAACAGCCTCGACATCGGTGACTACCTCTATGACCACTTCTACAACACTGCCAGCTTCCCTGGAAACAACTGCCTCGACAACGACACCTGCAACTGCAACAACAACCACAAAGACAACAGCCTCGACATCGGTGACTGCCGCTACGACCACTTCTACAACACTGACACCTTCCCTGGTGTCGTCGTCGACATCGGTAACTACCGCTACGACCGCTTCTACAACACTGCCAGCTTCCCTGGAGACAACTACCTCGACGACGACACCTGCAACTGCAACGACAACCAAAAAGACAACAGCGTCAACATCGATGACTGCAGCTACGACCACTTCTACAACACTGGCAGCTTCCCTGCCGTCGTCATCATCAACAACTTCGGCATCTCTTCTCACTGCCTCGGCTCTGTCCCAGATTCCATTCGATGACGAGATTCTCGCCCAAATTCCGCTCCCATCTCCATCCTCCTCCTATTAAAACCGCTCTTCAACATTTCCACAATCCACTCCTCTCACCGCTTCCACAATTGTCCGCCCAACTCCTTCTACTACTCCACTCACCACCACCCCAACTACATACATCAGATGGGACGAATGGCTACGGCTACTCACGACGGACAACATTGAACACATCATCACGCAGATACTGTGGGAGGACTTCGTCGCAATTGATCACGCTGCATTCTCGCCCCACCTCTATGACTTCTTCGACATCCACAAACACAACCGAATGCGATCTCTGCAACGACCTGACCCCTCCACTGACATCAACATCCAATTCCGTCACGCAAAGACATTCCTCCTCAAGCTCATCAACGACGACTACATCCGTCTACGTTCACCCAGAACACCGCGCCCACAATACCAACACGAGCGTATCACTACAACGCACCATAGATACACTTTCATCGCCAACACACCGCCGCCACGCCAAACGTCATTGGAGCCCCACACACCGCACGACAACGCCCCGCTCTGGTGGCTGCCATTGCAGCCATGGGGCGCCACAATATCGACCGCCCTCATTCATGACCTGCTTGCATCACGTCGCACCCTCCACATTTACAACATCCCCCACCCGCCTTGCACATGGGATTACCTGAACGACCTCATCTTCCTCCACCATCAAGAAACACAACATCCCCTCCCTCCATTCCCCACATTCAGGGCAGACATCATCCGTCGGGCCACAACAATTCTTCGAGCACAAGGACCGCCTGCGTGATGGACACATGGACAGCGACGGAGAAAAGACACTGACAGAGTATCAAGAAGGTTGTCCCTTATCATGGTGTTGCATCTTGTGTCATTACAGTTTTCTCTTTTATTTTCAAACTCCCAAATGCATTAATTTGTTTTTCTTTCTTTTTGTGTGATTCAGAACAACAGTTCCACCCTGTGCTACAACACCCCATATTAGCCACACAGTATCGCTTTTGTTCTCCCTGTACCCTGGAGCTCATTTCCGAGATATAACCCCGCTCACTTTTGTCTCCCGTCTCCAGATGTTGTTCTGTCGTCATCCATCGCCGCAGCGGGTCCACTTGTCTTCATAAATTAAAGAAACAACGGCACAAACGGCATGTTTTGAGTTTGCAAAGGCAGAACAAACAGGCAGTAGGCAACTTTGTCATGGCCTGAGTTCGAAAAGGCGGTTGTAACTCAGGCCGGCAGTGGTGTCAAGGTGGCGGTTTCATTAAGGCGGTTGTGTTTTTTTTTTTTTTTTTTTTTTTTTTTTTTTTTTTTTTTTTTTTTTTTTGTGCGGCCAAGCCTGCGGCTGGGCCACGGCTGTGGCTGGCCATGGCCGTGATGGGCCACAGTCACGAAAAAAAAAAAAAAAAAGACTCCAAAAAAAAAAAAAAAAAGACTCAACTGCCTTAACAAAAACCCCACCCTGACACCACTGGTGGCCTGAGTTACAACCGCCTTTTCAAACTCAGGCCATGACGAAGTTGCAGACTGCCTGTTTTTTCTGCCCATTACAAACTGCCATATGACATAAGCGTACTTCCCTCAAAATTAAGACAACGTCTTTAAAGTTATATCGTTCCCAAGGCATATAATCAACCGCCCCTGCGCCCTCCTCTTGTCATTCTTATTTCCTTTTTGTAAAAAAATGTCGTGTATTTTCTGTTTTTTTCTCTTCTTCTTTTTTTTTGGTTTGGGGCCTGTGATCGGGCGCTCGTTCCCCGATCTCAAAAAGTCTCGTCCGTTAATGCGCTGTGACTCTTTTTTCCAAGCAGGCCGAGGTACTGGTGGTTGAAACACTCACTTCCTGACCCTCTGGCCACTACAAGCTAAAAAACAAGTGAACATTGGCGATCTCGGCCGCAAATTGGGCGTTTTCTAAACCCAAATCCTCAGGGCTTATAAGACTCCCGCCAGTTGGACCTGATGATGTAAGGTTTTTTTTTTTGTAAGTTTGCAACTTTGCACGCCCGAATTGCACCCAGGAACATCAATATGTGGTTAACTTTGACATTTATTCCGGAACATTAAATGGGCAGTTAACTTTGACATTCCTGGCCACATTTACGGCATTTTCTGAATCGAAACCATTGGGGCTTACCGAGTCCCCGCCAGTAGGGCCTGACTATAATTTGGGCCCTCTAAACACTTAAATTGCAGCCAGGAACGTCGTAGATCCCCACCGCAACAAAACGATTCTACTGAGGACCGCGCTACGCACGGGGACGCAGTCAGGACAACTTGTTGGGGGAGGACGGCAGATTTGGCAGGTTTGGTAAGTAGGCCAGGTTCGCAGTGCGTATACGCAAAAAAAAACTGACAAAAAAAAAAAAAAAAAATCCTCACAGCCATCGACCCAACCGTAAGAAACAAATACACGCCCGTAGCCACCGTTCCTTATGCAATGTTTACCACCAGACACATCAAGGAAGTCGTGTCAACCCTGAGAGCATACTCGTGCCACCTCTTTTCAATGTGCATCCGACTGCAATTACGGGCCTCGCTCGCGTCCATAAACAACGAAAAGTGTCCTGTAAGTATGCCCTGACACCGCCAATGACCTCTCACCTTCCCGCCCCCAACATCTACACAGTTGTATATGACAGTCGTTGTCCCGATGGTACCATAATGGTTCTTCCCGTAAAAACCAGGCAGATATGCGCCCGTATCAGTCCTCCCTTATGGATGCCCACAAATATATACATCAATCAACAAAAATCTAGGGGCCACACACCTAAAACCTCCTGTCACTTCAACTCAGTCGACTCAACCGTCAGCTCACCTTCCCAACACAACCGTATCTGACAGTAGTCGTCCCGATGACACCAGGATGGTTCTTCCCATCAAAAACAGACAGATACACGCCCGTATCGGTCGTCCCTTACGCACATCCGCAGCTAGATACATTAACGAAAACGTACGGGCCCGACACCTAAAACAACCTGCCCATCCGAATCCGCACATTCCCCCGACCCCAATTCAAAAACGAAAAAAAAGGAAGACCCCACACATTGCCCCCACAAGAGGATACGGCGTGCCCACAACGCACCTAGACCGAAAATCGCAATACGATTCATCCGAGTACCCTGCACGAGCACTGACCCACCCCCAAATCTGCGCCCACCCACCACTCATGTTCCCCAACATCATCCCAAAAACCACCAAAGAATATAAAAAAAAACTAGGTTGTTTTTTCGGGCGCCCGGACACACAACTTGTGCCCAGATACATACCCGAGTGCCCGACCGAGCATGACCCCCGGGCAGGGTTCCGGGCAGCCCCAGCGCAAAAAAACAAAAAATAATACAAAAAATAAAGTCAAAAAAATCCAGAAGAAACATATGTTGTGTAGAATTGCAACACAAACAGCTTTTGGCCGAGGGTCACATCAGAATTCCTTACGGAATCAGAGATTAGAAAGAAAATAACAAAATCACACTAAAGGATCCTCCTTTAAACCCTCTTAGCCCCTTGAAAACCAATTTATTACACCCTTCCCCCCTCTTGACAACAAACTCTCAAAAAATGAAACAAGCCCGGATTTGGGGTCCTCTAGGAGAGCGCAGAAAGGCAAAAAAAAAAAGATTTTTTTTTTTTTTTGTCCGGCCGGGCATGAAAAATTTCCCAGAAAGAAACCCCAAAAAAAAAAAAAAAAAACTTCTCTGAAACAGGAACGCCCGGTCCGCATCCATGGACACCGAACAGTGACCTCAGCACCCAACCGCCAGTCGCCCGTGCTCCAAGCTGTACGAGGACCGCTCCGTGCTCCCCCTACCGGTCTTACTCCCGACGCCGATCGCACCCTTCCCCAACCCCAAAAACACCCCATTTCCTGCCTGCTGTACAGCACCACATTTCCCGAAAAAGCTGAGTGCACAAAACGACAAATGAAAACCGGCATAGACGGTTTGCCCCCGGACCGTTGCAAAAGGTTCAGCAGGCCCCCAAAAGCTAGCGACAAAAGTAACGGATCCCCCCCCCACAACGTAAGCCTTGCTTTCACCTCAAGCCTTCAGGGTCGTGGTCCTTGGCCTCAAAGCCATACTCACAATAGGACTTTTCCTGGATGTTCCGGGCCGGACGTAGAGCTTGACCTGGATGCGTCGGACTGCAACTACGAGTCTTGCTGCACTACTCATGAAATGTGCTTTTTCATGAGTTGCGCATCGCTGCACTTACTCGTGAATTGGGCCATCGGAAAACGCATCAAGAGTTGTCGTACGAACTCTTGCAAATGTCAAGAGTTGTCGTCGCTGCACTACTCTTGCCTTGTCGCACGTGAAAATACATTTCATGAGCTGTCAGGGCACCGTCAGGCAAAGTCATCTAAAGCACTCTTGCTCGCCCACCTGCAACCTTGGTTTTTGCAAGGGTAGTCCGATTGTTTCTTGAAAGGGCACGGGATTTCATAAGCAAGCCTGGGTCTGGGCGGACAAACCACGCTGCACTGCACTCTAGGATAACTGTCAGTGTCTCAAGAGTGCTTCATGAGCCGAACTATCTAGAGAAAGTGCAGCCACAACTGAACTCTAGGCCATTTGGGGACTCTCATCAGTCATGAGTAGGGCAGTGAGGCCCTATGTCCTGGGGCGTGGTGTCACTCGTAAAGAGGATAGGATCGAATGCCTGAATTCGGACGAGATTATGGAGATGTGCAGGAAACCGAGATCGAACTGCTTTTCTGCATCTCTGCATAAAACACATCCAGATTCAGGATCTCTATCCTATCCTTTTTGCTAGTGAGACCTCAACCCTGCGCTCAGTCTAAACATCAAAGAGCAGTTACTGGTGTGAGGATGCTCCCAAGTGTCAACAGCATCCCGTGGCAACACTTACCCAATGTGGAAAGGACAAAAACTATGGTGGGTGTATACTTCCAAGTTCGAGGAAAAGGTACATTCTCCTTTTTGTTTTATTGTTCTAAACTTTTTTCTTTTTTGAGAAATAGTTCTTCATTTTGCACATTTGTTTTCTAACGAAAAGGTCAGCAAATAGAGGACATCGGTTGCTGACGTGGCAACACCGGGATTCATAAATCGGCCACTTTCTGATTTTTTTTTTTTTTTATATGGGAACAAGGCTCCAATCTATTCGTGGGGAGCAGCACGTGCTGGGAACCGGGCCCAGCGTCCCAAATTTGAGATATTGAGGTCATTACCCGACTTTGGCTAAGAAAAATTGGAGCTACTTAGGAAATTACTACAACAAACTTCAGAAATAGGCAAAATTCAAAAAATGACTCAGAAGTCCCCCGTCAATCCTCTTGACAACAGAAAAATTTCCCAAAATTAAATAATCATTCTATAGCAAAATTACATTCTAAATTTCATATTTTCATTCCATCTTAAAAAATGTCATTCCAATTTTAAAAATTTTC